TAGTTTCATGCGGCCCACTGCACCCTAAAATCTTTATGTATATTTTCATTTACTTTAGTAACTTATATCGAGAATATTATTGTCAGATTGTGTTAGAAGATTCACGTCCCCATTGCATTAAAAGCGGGGGAGGGGGCAAAGTCCTTTGCCGAGACAAAGGACAAGAGCCAGAGCTAAATAACAATTAGTTATCTTATCTCGAAAACTGTTATTCATGTGGGAGTAATTCATACTGCCGTGAACAATTCTTTCCGTGCATGAAAAAAATCAAAACTACTGAAATAGGTTGAATGATTCCTATTTATTAGATTGGTGCAAAAATAATGACGTAATAATGTCGTTTTTTGACGTATTTTTTAACGTCAAAGACAAGTACAATAAAAGCAGATATTGACAATATTATAAAAGGAAAGCAATGTCAAAATCACATTGAATTTATTTTATTTTGTGTATGTATATTTTTTTACTGTCTATGTCTATTTTCCTTGCTATGTGCATTTTTAAGGTTGTATACATTTGTTACTAAAATTTGATATTCACAACTTGTTGAATTTTATAAAAGCATATTTATATAAAGTACCTTTGTGCTCCAGTGAATATACCTAGTTTGGCCTATTAGAAAAAATGTTGGACAACCCTGGGTTAGAACGTCCACTTTCTGACCATGTTTGAATCTCAGCAAAATCGATTTATCTTCTCAGCATCTTGGTATTATCGGCTTAGGGGTTGAGGGATCCTGGCGTGCAGCACCTTTCTGAAGTGCGGTAAATTCATTGATCGATGTACATGCACCATGTCACAAGTCAGCGTGACCGAGGTTTTGAACGTACTGGCCAGTTCAAACTGTCTATTACCCATCTGCAATGGAGACTGGATAGTTGCCCCACCTTATAAGAGGCAGACATTCTTCTCAGATACAAGTGACAACCATTCAATTCCATTTTTTTTAGCAGAAACCGAGCAATGATTATTTTCAGACGTTTTCTGCCAACTTATGACACAAATATATTTCGAGAAAACTCGACAGGAATAAACTTTACAATCAGTGGCTTGAGAGACGAACATGCAACTTTCTCATGATTTTACTTGAAATATTTCGCTTAATTTTGACCGAGATCTTGATAGATGTTTGAAGACATTTATTAAACAAGCATTTTTATAGTTATATTAAACGGACGTTTCAATAAGTATACTAGCAAGCTTCGCCCGCTCGCTATCGATTCGCAAAGTAAGATATATTCACTACTTGAAATCTATGGAAAAAATTTAAATGAATATTTCATTCATAAATTGGCTTGTTATAGTTAAGGAAAGTTTTACAAATAGATGCCAACTTGTTGAAGACCATGTAAAATGCAAATTTCAAACACTTTTTTGCACTATATAAGACGATATTCCTAAACAGAACTATTTTTGATATAAAAATCAAAACAATTCCCGAATAAAACAGTAATGAAGGACAGTTAATTAATAAAATAAATGTTTTTAAAATCACTATGAAAATTAATTAAATCTGGAGAGTGATATTGCCTAAAAGTAGATAATATATAGCACAGATATTGAACGTTTAGCGTGTAAATTGCCATAAGTAATTTATACTCTTTATTTATCATCTCTTAGTTGCGTCTCTGTCCTTGGACAGAGTGCGCTCAGGTGCTTCTCTGTCAAAGGACAGAGGGACAACTGAGAAAATTATACTGAGAGGTACCTAGCCCTGGAGAACAGCTGCCCAAAGCCGCGCCCTCCTATTGCACAAGAGGCAGGGATCGGTGCTCGCACCGAGGCCAGCGCGACCGACCGTTGCATGGGGCTGTGAGGAATTTTTGTCCCTGCCCAAGTGTACGCGCTCGGGTCCCCACTTTAAAAAGACCTTGTGTCACATCTAGTTCTCGTGGAGGAATGAGTAAACCCCGTGTAAATTGCTATAAAATAGAGCTGAGTCTTATTAATCCCAGAATTCTTGGGAGAATTGAGTTCCAATTTCGAATTTATTCATATAGATTCCATAATAAATGTTTTACTTAATTAGCTATTATGTTTCTCTAACACTTCAAATGTTGAATATATAATAAATTCTAATTTCAATTTTCTCATCATTACACTATATTAATTTTATCTTATAAATTGTCCCCTTAAAATTTTAAGCTAGCTACAGTTTTGGATACAAAAGAAAAATAAGAGTTACTTCCTTTGAACCATGAAAGCAACGATAATGGCTAGTATAATATATTAATATATATTTTTAACCTAGCATAATCTGGCAATCCTGAATCTGAGCTCAACGAAAACCGGTCCATGTGCCTAACTTTTTTAGGGCTTTTGAATGAGCCATAAATCATTGAAATCGAACCAGTGGGTGAAGAGGAGTTGCTTGGACGCACACAAACACACAGGCATACACTGTACTTTATATAAGTATATTAAACAGAGGCTTGAAGATGCTGATTAAACAGACATTTATTAAACAAACCGTCGCCGACATCTATTGAACATTCATTTGAAGATGTCACTTAAACATGTTTGCATTCGTCTATTAAACAGACGTTTGTTTACGTGTACCAAACAGACGTCTACAGATGCCGATTAAACAGACGTTAGTAGATGTTTATTAAACAGAGCTTTACCGACGCAGATTGCACAGAATTTCACATATGTTTGTAGTAAATCATAGAGAGTTAAGGTTACGATAAAAGAAGATGTAATTTGTTCTACACTATAGACAAATTACATGTAGTACTATGTAGAACGTTAATCTTGCAAGCTTTTTATATTATGTTTATTTAAAGTGCCTGACTATTGATTGCGATGTTATTACAGGTTTTCAATGGAGGCTAGCTTTCTCTACTTGACTTGATAGCATGTTATGAGAGAACTGTAATTGATCAAGTGCTGTACTAAGCCAAGCCTAGTAAATAATAATGTCGTTATTTAATCTCGTATAAATAACAAATATATGATGTCAGGTCAAGCTTTTTTTTTTCTCTCTCTTTCTCTCATTTTTTTTTTATTTTGTTCGACAACTGCTGCTATGAGTACTTATAGTGTTCTGTCTATGGGAATTCCCAAAATAAACGAAGACATCAAGACTGGTAACAATGTTTGTTTTTCTGTCTGTCAATCCTTCTTCTTCAACCCATCCAATCACTTTGCTTGTCAGTCAGGGTGTCTACATTTTTGGGGGTTATTTTTTTTGTCCGTATATATATATATATATAATATATATATATATATATATATATATATATATATATATATATATTATTTTATCAATCCTCTGTCATTTTGCCCGTTCTTCAATGAAGCTGGTTGAACTATCCATCGATTTGTTTGTCGGAAATCTGTCTGTCTGTCAAGCGTTCAATATCTCTATCTGCGTAGCTCTCCTTCATTTCAGTCTAGGGAGCTGACCAACCTAATTTTCTTTTCGTTTTGTTTTATTTGTTCTTTTCATTATTTTTTTCTTATGCTCTTGATAAACCCCCACCCCTTCTTAGCCTGTCTTTTATGATCGTCAATAACTTTCCTTCTATCTGTCTATTTACCGCTCTCTTTCTCTCTCTCCCCTCCTCACTCTCTATATCACCCTATAACCCTCTCGCTATATTTTCTTCTCCCCCACTCTGTCTCTCGTACTTTTAAACATTGTCTTGGACTATCTGCCTTGGCCAAACTGCCCGAAATGAAGATAATACACTTTCTATAATGGAGAAACAGAAGAAAATCAAAGAGAAAACAAAATAATCCCCGTTAAGATGGATTCGTTAAAATTGGCAATGAGTTTTTTTTGTTTTGTTCCAGTTTTTTTTCTTTTTTTTCTTTTTTTTTTGTTCTTTTTCTTTTGTGCTGCTATTGTACTTTTTACATTTTTTTCTTAATGCTTGAGCGTTTATATTTTTTCTCTAATTTTTGTTCCTTGTTATATCGGCTAAAAGTGATTACTGTCTTTCTCGACTTAAGAGGAATAACATTATTATCAACAGAGAAGCATTATTATTATTATTATTATTATTATTATTATTAGTGGTGTTGTTGTTGTTGTTAGTGGTGTAATTATATTTTCTTCTTGTTTGGCAAAGAAGCAGTTGACATTTATTCTGTTCTAGATTTGATTCACTTTACCTCTTTACGCAGGTTATTTACAATAGCTTTTCTATTATTTTCTTTAGAGGGAATTTTCTGCTTTTTCTTCTGCTTCATTCCTTACTAATATGACTTCATTTGTCTATTTCTGTTTTTTTCCTTATCCTCAGCTCTTATTTTAATCTCTTCTTTTCTTCTTCTATGCTTCTATTCTCCTTGTTTTTCCTATTCTTCATCTTCTTTCTTCTCTTCTTCTTTTTTCTTCGTCTTCTTTCTCTTCTTCTTCTTCTTCTTTTTTTCTTCTTCTTTTTCTCTTCTTCCTTCTTCTTCTTCTTCTTGCTCTTCTTCTTCTTGCTCTTCTTTTTTCTTCTTCTTCTTCTTCTTGCTCTTCTTCTTTTTTTTCTTCTTCTTCTTTCTCTTCTTTTTTCTTCTTCTTCTTCTCCTTGTTGTTGTTCTTCTTCTTCCTCTTCTTTCTCTTCTTCTTTATTCTTCTTCTTCTTCTTCTCCTTCTCCTTCTTCTTCTTCCTCTTCTTTATCTTCTTCTTCTCCTTCTTCTTCTTCTTCTTCCTCTTCTTCTTTTTTCTTTTTCTTCTTGTTCTTCTTCTTGTTGTTCTTCTTCTCCTTCTTCTTCTTCTTGTTCTTGTTCTTCTTTCTCTTCTTCTTTTTTCTTCTTCTTCCTCTTCTTCTTCTTCTTCATCATCATCTTCTTCTTTCTTTCTCTTCTTTTTCTTCTTCTTCTTGTTCTTCTTTCTCTTCTTCTTGTTCTTCTTTCTCTTCTTCTTTTCTTCTTCTTCTTCTTCGCCTACTGTCTAATTTGGATAGGTCCTGTATTATATATAGAATGTGTTTTACTTTAGAAAAAAGACCCCTTTAACTTTCGCTCACTCCTTTTTATTTCTTTCTTTGTCTTCCTCTCTCTATATATATATATATATTCTCATCGAGCCTTTCTGAGTGTCGCCTTCACATTCGCGTTTTCGTCGCTTTTCCTTCGCTTTCCATCGGTTCCACGCATGCGTGAAAGCTGCAAATCCAGGCCTGAATTACTCCACAGTTGAGTCTCATATCAATTGCGCCCCTTGCCCAACACGTTCATGGCAGATCTGTATTTCATTCGTTACACATTTACCTCCTTTGGTAATTTTGCCTCACGTCTTTACAAACTGTTATTTCTTTTTCTTCAGAATGAATCATATCTCTTCTAACTTCCCATTCTGCTTTCATTATTTTCCTTTACTCCCCTTTTCTGAATACTTTGTAATTATTGATACTTTATTCCTTCCTTTTATTATAGACTTTGCGAAAAACTATATTTCTTGTAACTTTATTTTCTTCCCTTCTTCCCCTTTTCGCTCACTCTGTCACATTCTTTCTTTCTTTCTTTCTCTTCCATTAATATATATATATATATATATATATATATATATATATATATATATATATATATATATATATATCTTAGTCCCTCTCTGTTGGTCTATCTATCTTAGTCCCCTGATCAGTTATCTATCTATCTTAGTCTCTCTTTGTGTGATTCAATTTTAGTCCCTTAATCATCTATCTATCTATCTATCTATCTATCTATCTATCTATCTATCTATCTATGTTACTCCCTCTCTGTGTAATTCTATCTATTTTAGTCCCTTCACTAATTATCTTTTTATCTATCTATCTATCTAAGTCCCTCGATGATCTATCTATCTATCTATGTTACTCCCTCTCTGTGTAATTCTATCTATTTTAGTCCCTTCACTAATATCACTATCTTTATCTATCTATCTATCTAAGTCCCTCGATGATCTATCTATCTATCTATCTATCTATCTATCTATCTATCTATCTATCTATCTATGTTACTCCCTCTCTGTGTTATTCTATCTATTTTAGCCCCGTCACTAATTATCTTTTTATATATCTAAGTCCCTCGATGATCTATCTATCTATCTATCTATCTATCTATCTTAGTCCCTCTCTCTGTCATTCTATCTTAGTCCCTTGATCAGATAGATAGATAGATGCGGACTAATATATTTTTATATTCTCTATATTTATGTATGTCTGTATATATGTATGCATGTTTTGATGTGATATAAAATGTAATAAGAGAGTCACATCTAAATTGTGAGAGAGAGAGAAACCTACGTCACTGAGTTTGAAATAAAACCAAGACAAGAAAAGAGGAACTCTATTATTCCCTTCCATTCATTTTCCTTCTATTTATCCGCTGGCTCTTTTTATTCTTCCCACCGACATAGGTTTTTTCAATTCCTTCAGTTATCTCTGTGAAAAATTACGCTCTTGTTTCCTTTAATTTCATTCTTTTTTTTTTTTTGCAATTCTTTATTCCACTTTGTTATCGTACAGAGAACTTCATATGGCTTCTGAATCTTTTCTTTCCATCGAATCACTCTTTCCGTCATTCAAATGCTTCAGCTCTCATTTGAAAACTTCGTAACAAACTTCTTTTCCTATGTAACACACTCTCCAAAACGCTACATATATTGCTTCATTTGTTCACTGATGAATTTCTTCTTTCTGCTTAAATGTATTTTTTCTTTCTCTTTTTGCTTCTTTTTGTTTTACTTTCATCTTTCTTTCTTCTTTTTTTTTTCTTCATTTGATTTTTCTACTTCCCTTCCGTATTCTATGAATTTTCTTTGTTCTTGATTTCTTAATTGATATTCATTCTTTCCTCTTCTTCTTTTTCTTACTTTATTTATTCCCGTTTTCACTTCCTCCTTTTCTGCCTTTTTCTTCTTCTTCTTCTTCTTCTTCTTCTTCAATGTTTGCCTTGGCATTCTTTCTTTCTTTACTGATTTTCATTCATGTCTATTTCGTCTCTATCTGTTTCTTCTCCATGTCACCTCTGATTTGCTTGGTTGTTGTTCTTCTTTTGGTTTTTCTTCTTCTTCTTCTTCTTCTTCTTCTTCTTCTTCTTCTTCTTCTTCTTTTTCTTCTTCTTCTTCTTCTTCGTCCTCCATCTTCTTTTCTTCATCTTTAATGGTTTTCTTTATATTCTTTCTTTCTTTCTTTCTTTCTTTCTTTCTTTCTTTCTTTCTTTCTTTCTTTACAGATATTAATTTCTGTTCCTGTTTATTATTCATTTTTTTCTCCTGAGATTTTAATCACTTCTTCTTCTTCTTCTTCTTCTTCTTGTAATTTTTGTTGTTGTTGTTATTGTTGTTGTTCTTTTCTTCTTCTTTTTCTTTTTCTTTTTTCTTCTTCTTCTTCTTCTTCTTCTTCTTCGTCCTTTATCGTCTTTTCTTCATCTTTAATGGTTTTCTTTATATTCTTTTTTCTTTCTTTCTTTCTTTCTTTCTTTCTTTCTTTCTTTCTTTCTTCTTCTGCTTGTTGTTGTAATTTTTGCTGTTGTTTTTATTGTTGTTGTTCTTTTCTTTTCTTTTCTTTTTTTTCTTCTTCTTCTTCTTCTTCTTCTTCTTCTTCTTCGTCCTCCATCTTCTTTTTTTCATCTTTAATGGTTTTCTTTATATTCTTTCTTTCTTTCTTTCTTTACAGATATTAATTTCTGTTCCTGTTTATTATTCATTTTTCCTCCTGAGATTTAAATCTCTTCTTCTTCTTCTTCTTCTGCTTGTTGTTGTAATTTTTGTTGTTGTTGTTGTTATTGTTGTTGTTCTTTTCTTCTTCCTCTTCTTTCTTCTTCTTCTTCTTCTTCTTCTTCTTCTTCTTCTTCTTCTTCTGCAATGTTTGCCTTGTTATTACTTCTTTCTTTACTGATTTTCCCTCCGATCTATTTCGCCTTTATCGCTTTCTTCTCGATGTCACCTCTGATTTGGTTTCTTGTTGTTTTGTTATTGTTGTTATTTTTGTTGTTGTTGCTGTTCTTCTTCTTCTTCACCTTCTTCTTCTTCACCATCATCATCATCATCATCATCATCATCATCTACTATTACTATTACTTCTTATTCAATTGTCAAACGTTTTATTCTTTCTGACTTTACTGGTTTCCGTCATTGCTATTCTGCCTTTTAGTCTTTCTTCATCATTTCATCTCTGAATTCGCTCTCTTCTTCTTCTTCTTCTTCTTCTTCTTCTTCTTCTTCTTCTTCTTCTATCTAATTTATCCCTAGTAAATTTACTTCTTAGTCATTCAAGAAAAAAAAACACCCTTTCCCATTTATCCATTGAGTGTTTTCCTATTTCTATCGCATTCCGTCATATTTTCCTCTTCTGACATAAGTAAAGAAATTCATCTTTCTCCTCATCACTGGAATTTTTATTAGTTTTTCTGTCTGCTGTCTTTGAGATAATCCGAAGTTTCCAGAAATACGCACTTCATCTCCACACCCGATTTGTTTCTTGCGCGCTTATTTAATTTACACTCTCGAAATACACAAATTTCTCACCTCACATGGAAACCTTATCAGATAGCCTCTTCATTCTGGCAATCTCATCAGCTATACATCTTTACATATATTCCCCTATGTGCAACGCATTATTCATCTGTATTTATAGATAGATAGATAGATAGATAGGATAGATAGATAGATAGATAGATAGATAGATAGATAGATAGATAGATAGATCCAGGGAAAGATATAGCTAAATAAAAATGCAATTATCTTTCTAATTCTGTATATCAGTCTCATTCTTTCTTTCTTAATATCTGTCTATCTATCTCAGTCTGTTCATATCTATCTATCTATCTATCTATCTATCTATCTATCTATCTATCTATCTATCTATCTATCTATCTCTCACAGTTTGTTCATATCTATCTATCTATCTATCTATCTATCTATCTATCTATCTATCTATCTATCTATCTATCTCAGTCTGTTGATACCTATCTATTTATCTATCTATCTCAGTCTGTTCATATCTATCTATCTATCTATCTATCTATCTATCTATCTATCTATCTATCTATCTATCTCAGTCTGTTCATATCTATCTATCTATCTATCTATCTATCTATCTATCTATCTATCTCAGTCTGTTCATATCTATCTATCTATCTATTTCAGTCTGTTCATATCTATCTATCTATCTATCTATCTATCTATCTATCTTAGAGTGTTCATATCTATCTATTTATCTATCTAAATGTATGCCTGTCTGTATTTTTCATGTCTTACGGATATATCACGTTGAAACACCGATTCTCGTCCGATCGCCGAAAGCAAGATCGTCTGACGGAGCCCATCCCTCAGCAGGCCGTTTTCGTTGGGAAAAGTATGAATCCAGCTCTTCTACCCCGGCTTATAGTTAAATAGTAGGACCTGTAATTGAAAATCATTATTATCTCTAAAAAATTATTAATAAAATATTCACTCGCAAAAAAACAGAATCATTCTTACAATCCCAAAATATGTTTCGGCATTAAATAATCAGGAAAGGGTTGATAGTCAATAAAAAATCAGTTCTTTTTGCCACCTACGACTGCCGGTTGTGGCCTGTTGTCCATGCATTAATTACCAAATATTAAGACATTATCTGAAAAAATACTGATAATGATAATAATATTTGATGGATTTTATGATTCTTTCAATAATCTATAGGGAATTCGAACTTGAACATTTTACAATATTTGCATAGATAGATAGATAGATAGATAGATAGATAGATAGATAGATAGATAGATAGATAATCAACAGATTGATAGATAGATGAATGATAGATAGATAGATAGATAGATAGATAGATAGATAGATGAATAATAGATAAATAGATAATAGACAAATGAGATAGATAGATAGATAGATAGATGAATGAATAGATAATCAACAAATTGAGATAGATAGATAGATAGATAGATAGATAGATAGATAGATAGATAGATAATCAACAAATTGAGATAGATAGATAGATAGATAGATAGATAGATAGATAGATAGATAGATAGATAATCAACAAATTGAGATAGATAGATAGAGAGATAGAGAGATAGAGAGATAGA